AAGAGGTGAAGCTCGGAGTACTGTGTGAGGTAGACTCGGTGGTTGTTGAAGAGGTAAAGCTGGATGTAGTGTGTAAAGTGGTCTTGGTTTTGGTGACTGAAGAGGTGAAGCTGGGAGTAGTGTATGAGGTGGTCTCGGTGGTGAATATTGAAGAGGTGAAGCTGGGAGTAGTGTGTGAGGTTCTCTCGGTGGTGGGGATTGAAGAGGTGAAGCTGGGAGTACTTTGTGATGTGGTCTCCATTGTGGGGATTGAAGAGGTGAAGATGGGAGTACTATATGAAGTGGTCTCGGTAGTGGGGTCTGAAGACATGTGTGAGGTGATCTTGGCAGTGGGTATTGAAGAGGTGAAGCTGGGAATACTATGTGAGGTGGTCTCAGTGCTGGTGATTGAAGAGGCAAAATTGGGACTACTATGTGAGGTGGTCTCAGTGGTGGGGATTGAAGAAGTGAAGCTGGGAGTACTGTGTGAGGTGGTCTCGGTGGTGGGGATTGAAGAAGTGAAGCTGGGAGTACTGTGTGAGGTGGTCTCAGTGCTGGTTATTGAAGAGGCAAAGTTGGGACTACTATGTGAGGTGGTCTCGGTGGTGGGGATTGAAGAAGTGAAGCTGGGAGTACTGTGTGAGGTGGTCTCGGTGGTGGGGATTGAAGAAGTGAAGCTGGGAGTACTGTGTGGGGTGGTCTCAGTGCTGGTTATTGAAGAGGCAAAATTGGGACTACTATGTGAGGTGGTCTCGGTGGTGGGGATTGAAGAAGTGAAGCTGGGAGTACTGTGTGAGGTGGTCTCGGTGCTGGTGATTGAAGAGGTGAAGCTGGGTGTACTGTGTGAGGTGGTCTCGGTGCTGGTGATTGAAGAAGTGAAGCTGGGGGTACTGTGTGAGGTGGTCTCGGTGCTGGTGATTGAAGAAGTGAAGCTGGGAGTACTGTGTGAGGTGGTCTCGGTGCTGGTGATTGAAGAGGTGAAGCTGGGGGTACTGTGTGAGGTGGTCTCGGTGCTGGTGATTGAAGAGGTGAAGCTGGGGGTACTGTGTGAGGTGGTCTCGGTGCTGGTGATTGAAGAGGTGAAGCTGGGGGTACTGTGTGAGGTGGTCTCGGTGCTGGTGATTGAAGAAGTGAAGCTGGGGGTACTGTGTGAGGTGGTCTCGGTGCTGGTGATTGAAGAAGTGAAGCTGGGGGTACTGTGTGAGGTGGTCTCGGTGCTGGTGATTGAAGAAGTGAAGCTGGGGGTACTGTGTGAGGTGGTCTCGGTGCTGGTGATTGAAGAAGTGAAGCTAGAAGTACTGTGGGATGTGGTCTCAGTGGTGGTGGTGAACAAGTTTGTTGTAGGAGTCATGGCTGTTTCTGTGGTCTGGAGAAAGGAAGAGGTGGGTGGGAGAGTAATGGTGGTGGACAATATACCTGTTGTACTTGTGGAAAAGGTGATTTTGGTCGTGGAGTCTGGGACAGTGCTAGTGGGAAAAGTAGGGTGCGTGGTCTCAGATGTGGGTGTAGACCTGGTGATGATAGCGGGGAGTGTGGTCACGAAGGCAGATGGAGGAGCGGTGCTTGTGGTATGACTGCTGATCGTTTCTGTGCTCGGGACAGGTGTGGAAGATAAAATGCTACTGATGAGTGTCGATAACATATTAGTGGCTGTGGGCTGAGAGGCCACAGTTGTCACGGAAGTCACTGTCTTTGTGGAAGTGGTTGAGGAAGTGATGGGGGTGGTAGAAGTCACTGCTCTTGTGAGGGTCGTAAACACGGGAGTTGGGGACAGGGTCGTATGGGCACTTCCAGTGGGCAGGGTCGTCTTTTCTATGGTTCTAGTTGTAGAGGAGATCGTAGTGTGGAAGGCTGTGTGTGTGGCTGAGACAGAGGAGGAGGGTGACACTGTCACTGTGGGAGTGTCCCTTGCCGTGGTGATAGAGGGAGAAGAGGTCGTCGCTGATGTTCCTTCCTCGGTAGTTGTAATAGGGTAAGGACTGGTGACGGTGGCCACTGGCGTCTGTGTCTCGGGGGTGGGGGTGTAAGAGCTGGTGAAGGCCACCTGCGTTGTGGTCACACAGATGGAGGTGGGATGGGAGACGGTGATTATAAAGCTCGTTGGATACGCGCACTCAGTGGTGGCCGCATAGACCAAGACAGTGGGTGGACTGGTTTCAACCTTGAAGGCAAACTTGGAGGCCAGGGTGGTTGAGGTGTTGGAACTGACTGGAGAACTGAGCAATGTTTCAGGGATGGGTGTGTCATGGGGGGAGGTAGTGCGAGTCATAGGTGCATTTTCCCTGCGGCCTGGAGCGGGAGAGGCAATCTGGGGGACACCGAGTGGCCACCCAGCTGCGCCTCTGGAGTGTGGAGAATTGCTGAGTGCCGCATGGGCTGCTTCCGCGGTGGGGAAAGGCACATGAGAGATGGATGTGGCCGTGGAGAGAGGTCCTGCATTGGCGGCAGAGCAGAGGAATCCACTGGTGAACCGGTGGGTCATGCTGTCACATCACACCAAGTAAGTCCCACTCACCCATTTTCCAGCCAGCATCACAGAAGGAAGGACATGCCACAGCTCACTCCTGCATGGGAGGCAGCTTGGAGCTGGGCGCTGTGGGGTGCTGGAGCTCCCTGCCTGACTGCTCCAAGGGAGCAGTGGGGCGTGAGAACCCTCATCCCTCACCTGGTCTTGGTCTTGTCATGGCCAGTCCTGTCCTGGGACAGCAGAACTTGGCAGAGCCTCCCTTCCCCCACTTCCCTTTACTGGACACACCTGAGCCCCTCCTCCCTCTGCCCCTTTCTCTCCTCCCCTTGCTGCTGCTTGGAGTCCTCCTGTCCTCCCATTAGCCTTCTGCTCCCACCTCTGCTTCTCCCCACACCCTGCTGCTATCTGGGCTGACTCTCGCTTTCAAAGAGGAAAAGAGAGAACACAACTATTTCCTGGGAGCAGGTGCATCACAGAAACCAGGAGACAGAGAAAGCTGCACAAAGACCACCAAGGTGGCTCATGCCTGTCATCCCAGCACTTTCTGAGGCTGAGACAGGTGATCACTTGAGGTCAGGAGTTCAAGACCAGTCTGGCCAACATGGTGAAACCCCATCTCTACTAAAATAATAATAATAATAATAATAACACTAACAAACCAGGTGTGGTGGTGTGCACCTCCTGGGCAGGAGAATTACTTGAACCCGGAGGCAGAGTCTGCAGGGAGCCATGACTGCACCACTGCACTCCAACCCGTGCCACAGAGCAACACTCCATCTCAGAAACAAAACAAAACTGCACAGAGAACACCAAGGAGAAAAAGAGGCTAAGCTCACATGCTCATGTCATCAAAGGGCATGGAGTGAGGGCCACACGGACAGGCAGAGAGACAGGATGGAGAAGGAAACTTCCAGAAAGAGCCACCTTGGTGGTCAGGAGTGAGTTCCAGAGACCTTAAGGCTTAGCGGTGAGTGTTCATCTCAAAAATAGACATATTCGGCCGGGTGCAGTGGCTCAATCCTGTAATCCCAGCACTTTGGGAGGCCGAGGCGGGTGGATCACGAGGTCAAGAGATCGAGACCATCCTGGTCAACATGGTGAAACCCCGTCTCTACTAAAAATACAAAAAATTAGCTGGGCATGGTGGTGCGTGCCTGTAGTCCCAGCTACTCAGGAGGCTGAGGCAGGAGAATTGCCTGAACCCAGGAGGCGGAGGTTGCAGTGAGCCAAGATCACGCCATTGCACTCCAGCCTGGGTAACAAGAGTGAAACTTCATCTCAAAAAAAAAAAAATAGACATATTCTTGGGCCAGGCGTGGTGGCTCACACCTGTAATCCCAGCACTTTCAGAGACCGAGGCAGCGGATCACGAGATCAGGAGTTGGAGACCAGCCTGACTAAGATGGTGAAATCCCATCTCTACTAAAACTACAAAAATAGCCGGGTGTGGTGACAGGTTCCTATAATCCCAGCTACTCAAGAGGCTGAGACAGGAGACTTGCTTGAACCCAAAAGGCGGATGCACTCCAGCCTGGGTGACAGAGCAAGATTCTGTGTCCAAGAGAAAAGATATATTTTTCTCTAATGATTCTGTTTTGGCCGTGGGATTCATTAGTTTACAAGCATGAACCCCAGCCTGTGGATTTCAACCTATTTCACAATGGTGAGACTTCAGATCAGAGATCTGGCTGTCAGGGGCAGGGAAGACGGGCAGCCTCAGCAGATGGGAAGTGGGAAGTACCTGACCTCCTGCCTCTCACCTTGGGCACGGCCCATCTTGTGGCTGAGAGCTGGGGTGTCACATCCTAGCCTAGCTCGCGGGTGTCAGGGAAGCGGGGTCGGGGTTATGAGAACCCCCAGGCTACAGTCCTTGGCTCTGGACTTGGCCCTCGAGGTGACTGAGAAGGGGACTCATGGGCCTCTAGGGTGGACGGCCTGGGATCAGGGATCAGAAGAGACGCTACAGGAAGAGAGAAGGGAAGCACAGAGGAGTGGGGGGTGTCCCTGCAGATGGAAGAGAGAAGCCCGGGACCCCACGCCGCGGGTCTCTCGGACGCACCCTTGGAAGTGAAGTGGACTTTAGAAGCTGCCTGCCCCAGCTCTGGTGCCTCCCAGACACAGAAGTCTGTCAGGGAGGGGAGGCCAGTGTGGAGGGGGTGCTGGGGCTGGGGGCATGAAGCAGGTGACAAGAAGGAGTCAAGGCAGGAAGAGCACTGCTCTGGGAAGACGGAACTCCCACCCTCCACCCTGCATCTGCAGATACAGATCGGGGCACAGCCCCTGCAACCTGCCCAGTGCGTGGCGGAGAGTGACAACAAGGACCTGGCTCCCTCGCTCCTTCCCAACTTGGCTTTTCCCTGCACCTGGAGCTCTGAGAAACCCCTCCTTATCCCCCAGCCCCCAGGCCATGCCTTGGTTCTCCCTGCACCCAGAACTCCAAGCAGCCCCTCCTTATCCCCCGCTCCCCAGGCCTCAGAGCCACCTGCCTCTCCCCTCCCCTGGAACATCACATCAGGAGCTTCTCTCCAGCACCCCCCCCACCTCTCCCCCTCACCTGTTGCCCCTGGGGAGGCCTTGAGCATCCAGAGGAGGCCGAGGAACAGCAGCAGCTGCATGGGTCCAGCGAGCAGGGGACTGGGGCAGAGCAGGCTCCAGGGCCAAGACAGCGGCAGGGACGTGGCCTGAGGTGTGCACAAAATGAAAGTGCTGGTTGTCTGTTCTGCTGAGCCTGAGAGTTGAGCACAGCCTCACCTTTGTACCGCCCCACCTCACCCCTCTGCCTCCCTTCTCCCTGCATCCGGACAGATCGACGTCAGCGCTGTGGGAAGCAGGGACATGAGGAAAAAGATAGGACAAGTCCAGGAGGTGTCAGGCAGGGAGAGCTGCTGGTGGCCCAGCCCCACAGCCTGCCTGGCCCACACGGAGCTTCCTGGAAGCTGCCCTCCCTCCCCCACACACATGGTGGGTACCCTTGACTGAGGGCTTGGACTCTGGAGTCTGGGCTGATTCCTGCAGCCGCTCCTTAGTTTCATAACCCAGTCTGGGAAGGGGTGAGGGAGCTGGGTCCCTGCTGCACTCCAGCCTGGGCAACAGAGCAAGACTCCATCTCAAAAAAAAAAAAAAAAAAAACTAGTTTGGACCTAGAACACTGCCTTTCCTATGTAGCAACTATTAGGAAGGTTGAATCTATCCAGTTTGGGCAACGGTGTGAAGAATAAATGTTCTTACCCAGCTGGTGGGTGTGTAAGTATGTCAGGTTGCTTTAGAAGGGTAATTTGAGGATCACTTGAGGTCATGAGTTCGAGACCAGCCTAGCCAAGATGGTGAAACCCAGTCTATACTAAAAATACAAAAATTAGCCTGCCTCGGGGTAGGTGCCCATAATCCCACCTACTCAGGAGGCTGAGGCAAAAGAATTTCTTGAACCCAGGAGGCAGAGGTTACAGTGAGCCGAGATCGCGCCACTGCACTCCAGCCTGAGCGACAGAATGAGACTTCATCCCAAAAATGAGATTTAAAAAAAAATGTTCTTATCCAGCTGGTGGGTGTGTAGGTGGGTTGGGTTGCTTTAAAAGGATAATTTGACACCATGGAATACTATGCAGCCATAAAAAAAAGATGAGTTCGTGTCCTTTGCAGGGACATGGATGAACCAGGAAACCATCATTCTCAGCAAACTGACACAAGAACAGAAAATGAAACACCCCATGTTCTCACTCATAGGTGGGTGTTGAACAACGAGAACACATGGACACAGGGAGGGGAGCATCGCACACTTGGGTCTGTTGAGGGGAAATAGGGGAGGGACAGCGGGGTGTGGGGAGTTGGGGAGAGATAGCATGGGGAGAAATGCCAGATATAGGTGATGGGGAGGAAGGCAGCAAACCACACTGCCATGTATGTACCTATGCAACCATCTTACATGTTCTTCACATGTACCCCAAAACCTAAAATGCAATAAAAAAGGGATAAAGCTAAAAAAATAAAATAAAATAAAAGGGTAATTTGATGGCATCTATTAACATTTTAAATGTGTGCCCTAGAACCCAATAATTTCACCCTCCATCTCCGTGTCCAAGAAGCCCTTCAAGGAAGCATTCACGAGGATGTTTATTGTCTCTAGATTATGGCAATTTTGATGGAAAGTGTAAACAACCCAGACTGAATTCTTTCAATCCAGAAAGAAGATGGAATCGTCACACTACAGAATACGATGCTCAGGCCGGATGTAGTGGCTCACACCTGTAATCCCAGCACTCTGCAAGGCCAAGGCAGGAGGATCTCTTGAGCCCAGATGTTCCAGGCCAGCCTGGGCAACATGGCAAGACCCCACCTCGACAAAAGAATGCACAAAGATTAGCCAAGTGTTGTGGTGCGCACCTGTGGTCTCAGCTATTTGGCAGGCTGAGGTGGGAGGATCACCTGAGCCCAAGATGTCAAGGATACAATGAGCCCTAATAGAAACACTGCACTCCAGCCTGGGCAACAAAGCGAAACCCTATCTCAAAAAAAATTATGAATACAAAAAGGTCAGGGCCAGGTACAGTGGCTCATACCTATAATCCCAGCATTCTGGGAATCCAAGGTGAGGGGATCACTTGAGTTCAGGAGTTTGAGGCCAGCCTGGCCAATATGGCAAAACCCTATCTCCACTGAAAATACAAAAACTAGCCAGGTGTCATAGTGCACGCCTGTAATCCCAGCTACTCGGAACACTGAGGCAGGAGAATTGCTTGAATGCAGGGGGTGAAAATTGCAGTCAGCCAAGGTGTCACCACTGCACTCCGGCCTGAGTGACAGAGCAAGACTCCATCCCAAAAAATAATAATAAAATAAAATTAGGTCAGACCACACGCGGTAGCTCACACCTATAATCCCAACACTTTGGGAGGTCGAGGCAGGAGGATCACTTGAGGCCAGGAGTTCAAGACCAGCCTGGGCAATATAGTGAGACCCATCTGTACCGCCCCCAAAAAAAGAAAGATCAAAAGAAAAATAGGTCTGACCATCCCTAAGGGAAGAAGCTTTGCAGATAGAAACTGCAGGTCTTCCTCTTCCCAGCAGGCCCAAGGCACAGGATTGCAAAGGCAGCCAGTGAACTCACCAAGGCCAGGCCTGCTGGGAGATCTTCGAGAGGGGCTGTGCCTCTCACGTCTCTTTATCCAGAGTCAATAAAGGACCCTAAATAAGAGGCAATGTGAATACCCACCAAGCAACACTGTCTGCCCACTGTTTGTGCAGCTGGCTGCACCAAAATCCAGTGGAGACATTATATAGCCTTGGCCTCAGGGGTGTGTGGTCAGGTTGAGGAAGTGAGCAAAGAAACGAAAAGCTAAAACGTCCAAACGAGGTGGAGCTCCGAGCCAGGCAAAGACACCATTGGCTCAGGGGAAGGGCCAACAGGGAGCAGGGCTACTCTTGGGGTCTTCCACTTCGATTTCTTAATACATTTGACCAATTTGCCCAGCATGAAGATACTCGTTTGCAAAGTTTTCTGGTTGTTTTTCAGAGCACTCCCCATGGAAACCACTGAAGCCAGGTGGTCAAGCACCACAGCCAGGCAAGACGCTGCAAACCAAGCTTGAGGTTCTGGGGGTTTCCAGTCCTTTTGTTTGTTTTTTTTTAAGGATCAAACACCATACAATTCCCATCACTGTGCTGGAGACACAGATATTAATGGCGAATGGATCCTTGTTGTAAGTAAGATCACCAGGGTCCTGGGGAGATGGATCCCAGATCCCTCCCCAGCCACTGCCCCTTCTATCCACCACCTCTCTACTGCGCACACCCTCTTCTGCTCCAGCCCCTCAGCCCCTCAACCTCAGCCTCTGCCCTGAGCCATTTCCACACCTGCAGTGCCCTCCCCATCTTCCTCTTTCTCTCACCCTGTGAAAATCCCACCTGTCCTTTACTGTTCTACACCTTCCTCACCTCCTCCGGGAAGTCATGTGCAATCAGGTGACCTCTTCCACTCCTGAAATTTTTTTTGTTGTTTTTTGGTTTTTTTTTAGACGGAGTCTCGCTCTGTCATCCAGGCTGAAGTGCAGTGGAGCAATCTCAACTCACTGCAACCTCCACCTTTGGGTTTAAGAGATTCTCTTGTCTCAGCCCAAGTAGCTGGGATTATAGGTGCATGCCACCATGCCTGGCTAAGTGTGTGTGTGTGTGTGTGTGTGTGTGTGTATTTTTAGTAGAGCTGGGGTTTCACCATGTTGGCCAGGCTGATCTCAAACTCCTGACCTCCAGTGTTCCTCCCACCTTGACCTCTCGAAGTGCTGATTACATGTGTGAGCCACCACACCTGGCCCACTCCTGAAATTAATAGTGCTCATTATAGATATCTCTCCCATGATGCATACTTATCATTTCCTAGCTGGGAGCACAGTCATTTGAACACCTGCCCAGAAGGGAGAGGGAAAGGTGACATCTTTGCATTCTGAACTAGGGCAGTGGCCACTTTGCCTGGGAAAGAGCCTGGGAAGAAGCCCCACCCCACTCAGGGAGGCGATAGATGAGCTAAGACTGTGGGAGTCCTCCATCTGCTGTTTGAGAATGCTCCATGCCCACTTTGGGGTCCAGCCTTCGTGGCTGGGAAAAAAGAGTGTTCTACCGGGGCTGGGAGACGTGTCTGTAATGTCAGATGCAGCTGACTGTAGGCTGCCCACACACAACTGAGACCCAGAGCTGGCTCCAGAAATTAATAAGATTCCAGCCAGAGCTCCAGACAGGCAAAAGGACAGCTGGGGAGAAGAAAGGAGCAGAGCTGTGCAAAGACTATGCTGATGATGGAGGTGTTGGTCCAATTGTCAGTGACACTCGCCATCAGGCCCCTTCCTAGTAACACTGAAATGGGACCCATGGGAAGTCAGTGGGGGGCACTGGCCTCCCTCCAAGGTCACTTTTGTCACAGATACCTGGGAGAAGACATTAATCCAGAAATGTACAGGCTGGGACCAGCCCCCAAATGTCAAGGATAAGGGAGGGACGTGTTGAAACAAGGGCTGGGGGCCAGATGCGGTGGGAGGCGTAGTGAGTGGATCACCTGAGATTAGGAGTTTCAGGCCAGCCTGGCCAACATGGTGAAACCCCATCTCCACTAAAAATATTTAAAAATTAGCCGACGTGGTGGCACACACCTGTAATTCTAGCTACTCAGGAGGCTGAGGTAGGAGAATCACTGGAACCCAGGAGGCAGAGGCTGTGTGAGCCGAGATCATGGCATTGCACTCTAGCCTGGGCAACAAGAGCAAAACTCCATCTCAAAAAAAGAGTAAAGTCTCTCAAAGCCAGTGAGGGTTGGTGTAGCAGTCAGGAAGTGTCAGGTTATGCTGCAATAACAAATAATCCTGAAGGCTCCATGGCTTATAATAGCAAAGGTTTATTTCTTACTCATACCACTTGCCCATTTCAATGTCTGTGCTCTTATCCATTCTATCTTCACTCTGGGACCTGGGCTTACCAAACCACCCCCATCTGGGACATTGCCAGTCTCATGGCAGTGGAAGGTGACAGAGGGCAAAACTTCCAACTGGCTCTTGAAGCTTCTTTCCAGAGATGCTGTTCATCCCTTCCACTTGCATTTTGTTGGCCAAAGCAAGTCACATGGTCACCCTGGATGTAAAATACTATCAGACATCAAGTGTAATATCAGCGAGACAGGGAAAACAAATATTTGTTTTCCCAGGGCGGGAAAGCAAATATCTCCAACAATAACACAACCTACCACAGCTGG